ACCGTAATCGAAATTTAATTCTGATAATTAAATTTATGTTCCTAAAACTTCTTTTAAAGAGATAACCAGAATTCTTCGAGTAATTAATATTAACGATAAAATATAAATAAAGACCCTCATATATATAGAAAACGTTCTAGCAAATAGTCTTCAAGATACTGATGGTATACAAGCTTTTCAATAAATTTAGTCGATACTATGCTCAATAACAAAACATCACACTCTCTAAATCTAACAACATTTCTAACTCTAAGCCCATTACCTCTTTTATGTTTGGATTAGTAATAGAAGTATCCCATTTTCCACTTCTTTGTTTTAGCCTTGTAGTGTGGTCCACATGAAAGCACTTTTGCGTAAAGAGCATATGTGTTAAGTTCCATCTTCATCCGTTCCTCAAGTCAGTCTGCAAAATGTAACTTAGCACAAAACTCATTTAGAACTACGTACGCACAAACCAGCGGGCACATATGTTCATACTTTGAGGAGTACGTAAAAATGTTGTTAACTCTCTTGGGTGCATGTCGTTCAGTCTTGGCTCGTGCTGCTGCTGCTGTTACTGTTACTGCTGCCGCTATTGCTGTACGATGTCTGCAAGTTTTATTACATTTCACAGCTGAGACTTGCTGCCACAGCCGTGGTCTTGTTTACTTTTTTCCTTTTATATTTTTGTTGTTGTTGTTGTTGTTGATTTCAACATACAGTATCTTTTTTCATTTTTAATTTTGCTTTTAGGTGTATAAAGTAGATGTGCGTTTGTGTGTTTTGTATTTGTTTTTGTAGTGGTGTGTAGTTAATTGTAATTCCGTTTTACTTTATTAAACACTTTTTTGTGTGCTTAATGCAAACACAAACAACAACAACAACAACAACAGCAGCAACAAACTGCTTGATAAAGGTAGAAAAAGTGTAAAATAATTTAATATAACTGTTCTCCCAACCCCTCGTTCAAAGAAATAAACCGCACAAAAGTAAGCAAAAGCTACAAGTATAAAAAATTACAACAACCAGTAGCAGGAGTGCGTGGCAAAAATTCCGGAAATTTGAAACAAACCAGTAAAGTGAAGCAAGGACGTAAGGACGTTAGTAGCGGAACTTAAATGTTAACATGGCCAGCAACAGTAAAAGCAATGTGTGCTCTATAAGCTCTATGAGCATTTTATTTGTACGTAATTATTTGCAAGTGTGCGTGCATTGTAATACGTTTGAGTGTGTGTTCCTATTTTGCTGCCAGTGCTAAATTGAAATTCCAGAATTAAGTAATTTTCCCCAAGGCAACAACCATTTAAACGAAATAAATAAAAAAAGAAAATATGAAAAACTGTAAGTGGAAGCTGAACTCCACGGGACGGGACGGGAGAAAAAGCTAAGACAATGAAAATTTCTTAAAGTGTCTTGATTTTTCTAAGTTGTGACTGTTGTTGTTGTTGTTGCAGTAAATCATAAATTCGCACATGTGTTGCTGGCATTTCATTTTCTGTTTCTTTGTTGTTACTCATATATTTCATTTTATAACTTTGTTTATATATACATGTGTATATTTACTTATTTTTATGTACCTTTATAATATTTTGTAAATATTTAAGCTCCATTACTGCCAATGATTCTGTTGCTGCTGCTGTTGTTGTTGCTGTTACTGTTGTTGTTGTTGTTACAGTGATTGTGCATTTGTGTGGAAATAATAAATTTAGCAAATAACCTCAATAATCCTTTTACAATGTGGCTTGTTCTTGTAGCTTTCGTCGTCATTACTGTTTTTGTTTTTGTTGTTGTTGTTATATTTTTTGCTTTTGCTTTAGATATGATTTTTTTAAGGTTGCCATCAGCTTTTTATCTCTTAGGATCTATACATTGACAAGTGTTGTTCGTTACACACGTACGGGCTTACATGGCACATGCTATGGTGCGCCAGCACACTGAACACTACACACTGCATACCGCACCCAGTTCCTCTGTTCCCTTGACTGGCCCAAATTCGATATACTGAAAAGTATTGTGCATATTGTAGAAATTTATTGATATTGAAACTTGCTTGGTTTATGCTTGATTTGCATTTCATTCATTCAAATTGAATGAAATTGAACTGATAAAAATGAGATATTCTGATATTCTGATATGCCGTCAGCAGCATATCAAAATATTTGGCAATATCTCGACTGTCTTGTCTTTACGTACGTACGAGTGTTTTGGTTAGTTTTTTTTTTAGTCATATTTTATATTTTGTCTTTTGTTTTGTGGGTTTTTATTAACCAAATAAACAGCAACATCCCTGTCTTGTGGTGCAGGGATGCTTTCCTGATACATGTTTATCAGTTAGTTATTCGTTGTGCTCTGCTTATAAGCACTCATCATTACGCAGCCCCGTAGGGAAAATTAGCGTCAATCTGCAAAATTGATAAGTAAATAATCTTTTACAGTCATCGTCTAATCGGACTTTTACTTTTACCGAAAATCAAAATCTACAACAGTAATGTTGCATTTTTGTTAAGATGTGATGCTGGATATATATTTGTGGAAAAGTATAAAAAACGTAATTTCAATTTCTTGACCATTATCTTAATAATTTATTTAAAATTGAGTTGAATTTTCTTTCTTTAATCACAATTTCACAAATAATGATTAAACATTAATCTCAACAAGTTAATAGGTGGAAAATATACTTCTCACTCTTTCTTACCACTATAGTCTTTGTTAGATTAACGCTTCTCTTATCATTACTGTCCAATGTGTTTCTTTCTTTGCATCTCTTCTTTCATTTCTTTTTAACATTAAAGACTTGTATAGCTGCTTTATCTTTAGGAATTCTCACTACCTCCACGGCGACACTGGCTAGAATTTGGCAAGATTTTTATATTCGAATGCATATAAGTATTTTTTCCATAATATTATTTTTTTACCAAAAATTTGTGTGTTTTTCCAAATATCACAGTACCTATGTGCAGAAATCTTGCCGAATTTTTCCTTACGTTAGAATTTGATGAGCCTTGCAGTTTAATTGTTCTGTGCGTTTACATATAAAACACATTAGTGCGGATTCCGAGCTAACAATAGAATTTAATTCTTTAATGAAATTCCAAGAAATAAAATTTATTTACTGCCGTAATCTAGCTTTATACTACTATAACTAATAACATTTTAATATATAAAAATTACTAAATTTTTTTATCAAGTAATGATAAAAAAGTGTAATAATTTTATCCCTTTTTAATAATTTATTTCTATTTGAAATCTTAAGACTTATAAACATATATATTTAACAATACAACTAGTAGCTCTTTTATCTAAAAATCATATTCATTTATTTTGGTTAATTAAGGCCTAGAAAGACCTATACTTCTGTTGGTGGTTTTCTTAATACTAAATCAAATGATTTAATCTGCATACTAAATCGAATGTATTGATAATCTATAGGACTTTATCATTTGTGTGTTGACTTAATTAAATTATATAAGATACAGCAGGACATCGACATCAATGGGAGCAGTAAGCTGCTATCGAAAAGAAGCCTACAAAAACGGGTTTAACGGTGAATGCACGCAAAGCGAAGTATATGTCGATTACTAGTAGAAATGTGCGTCCCTCGGACGCCGAACTGTTAGCAAGCGATTATACTTTCGAATCTGTCAAAGATCACATCTACCTTGATATCGGCATAACAAACAATTTCGTTGTCAGCCTGGAGATCATATGAGGAATTGACATTGCTTATAGGTGCTTCTATAGGCGCAATAAGTAATTGAAATGTTTTGTCTCTCTCTATCTCTCTCTCGACAGCATAACTTACGACGCTTCATTTACCACTTATCCTACTTGTGCTTCTGTATAGCGCAGAAATATGGATGCTATCACATAATGATGAAGCAGCATCACTTTCCGAGAGAAAAGTTCTTCGTAAGATATTTTGTCGACAATTACCGCATCTAAATGATCCACAACCTACACAAGCTTTATCGCAACACTCATTCAGTGCCTTTGTTGGTTTGGTAATATCATGAGAATGAATGAAGATGCTCAAGTGAAAAAGATGTATTTTAAGCGGTAGTAAGACATGTCTCGGGTAGAGTCATTAAGATGAGGATACAATGTACAAGACAGGAGAAGGCGCGCAGGCAGCAGAGTCGCCTAGATACACATGTTACATCAGGCAGCAACCCGGTAACGGGTTGTTACGGTCAATTAAGTAAGTTAAATATAGCGAATGATTCCGTTTACGGTCACCATGCAGATCTGCACTACGAATGTATCAAGGTTTCAAGGTGTATCAATATGTGTTTTATTATCAATAATATCAATATGTGTTTTTATTGAATGTAAAATTGATGTCAACAACATTTTTATTTAAAAAATTTGTTATATCTTTTTAAATTTTTTTTGAAATTATTTTAAATTTAAAGCAATAGCAATATTTAACAATGAAAAATTATTTAGTCTTCCCAAATTTATTACAATTTGTATGTATATATCTGTATATTTATCTGTATATCTGTATATTTTTATAACTTATGTGTTTTATTTCGTTTGGCATAAAAAAATTTCTCTTTCTTTGAAAATAAATCTAAGAGCGGTTGGAATTATACTAAAAACTTTCTTCTACATTAACGCAGTTCTTATGTAGTTTATTCGTCTACTTCTTCAGGCAGCAGAAGTAGTGGAAATACCTTAGCATTGTCGCTCCTTGCCGTCTGCAATAAATTTCTAAAACCACAAAAACGTTAAAGTTTCGCTAATAAAGAAAAACAACAATTTGCTACTTTAATACTTTTAGGATTTCAATTAACTAAATTGAAGTTGAAGAACAATAAAAAGTGATCTTTTAATTTGAAAAGTTCTCAAGCCGCTCATTTCCAGTGTTTTTCGAAAAGTTTTCTTTTCTTTGCCGCAGTAGAGTCTAAAATTGAATTTATCGTAGGCGCGGCAGACAGAGGAATAGAATTTACCCACAAATACAATTTAAACTTTAAAGTCTGTAACAAATTTCTGAATTCTTTTTCTCTATTTTACAGTTATTTTGAGGTTAAGAGAGTTGCATCGATGCAAGCACATGACCAGGCGATAAATCAAGCATAACCAAGGTCCAACTCAAATATTGTAATAGTTACAAGGAAAACTTTCTACAGTTTTATTTATAACTGGAAACTGGGATGACAGCTGAACAAGACTTAAATTAAAATTACCAACCATACACTATAGAGAAGAAGTACACGGTAAAAAGTTAAAAACAAGTGACAAAATTGTGAGCAAAAAAAGAGTTAAGTCAAAAAAAAAAATTAAATACAACGAAATATTGCAACTCTTTTCCAGTTGTTGCAAACGACTGTCAAAAACTTGTCAAACCAGCACAAACGCAATAAAAAAAACAGCAAAATATCTGCTAATACACTGTAAAAAAGAAACACAAAAGGAAAAAATAGGGGACTCACATTTTGTTTGCAAGGCAATAACACTGAAAAGTACTTGTAGTTGGCAGCGCCAAAGCGTAGTAAAGTAGCAGAAAGTGTAGTAGCACAAGACGTCAACTTCAACGTCAATGTCAACTACGTAAAGCATAAACTACGTAGAGCATAAAATACATTAAAGACATAACTAAGCCCATTTGATAGCATAAAAAGAGTCCATTTGTCGGTCTCTATTCGGCTGGTGGGTCCGTGTCCGAGCTGCCATTGATGTACATAGCTGCAGGGAAGTTTTGATGCGGCACAAATGCGTATAACAAACGATAACGAAGGATTACGATATGCGGCCATGTAGATAATGTAGAGTTTTCGAAACCAAATAAATAGAAAAAACCGGTAGCAATAAAAAAACTTAATAAAAAATAAAAAATTGTATGAAAATAAATTGCAACAACAGCGGCAGCAATATTGGCTTGATGTGATGCCCGCAAGGACTTTCGTTCTTTTTATTTTCTTGTAGCGTAGTTTACTTTTAGATGATTTGACAACAAAGGATAAACAAAAGCACAAAATAAGGGAAAGAAAAAGGAAAAGAAAAGCACAAAACCCGAAAGCCAACATTTTGCCATCTAAGAAAAACAATTACCTCGAAACCCAAGGAGTAGCACAAAAATATTTGATAGTGGCGTACAAATAAAAAATCCTCACAAAACAAATAATGCGAAAGGATAAAATAATACAATCTAAAGCAGCAGCAGTACCAGCTCCAGTTCCACCAGCAGCAACAGCAACAGTAGTGGAAACTCTGCCAGATACAGTAACCAAATACAATATAAGCGAACCGCAACTGTCACAGTCACAGTCACAGTTACAGTCACAAAAAATATATAAACCTGCAGAAACATATCAGGATACAGAACAGCTCTCAAAGTGGGAGTCAAAGAGGCCAACGGCAGCAAGCACAATGTCCTTGCGCGAAGCTAAAACGATAAAGGAACCCAGCATTTTAAACTCAACGTGTTACGCAACGGAAAGTACAGCGGCAGCAACATCACTAATAGCAACAGCAACAGCAACATCAGCAGCAATAGCAACAGCAAAAAATATAAACAAAGCACAAATATTGATGCCAAATGCAGTTACAACAAATACTAGTCGCCTACAAGCACTCAACGAACAACATAAGAAGCTGGAGCATGCCCTTCAACAGCAGCACAATTTCACACAACAACAGCAATTACACAATCCCAAGCACAGTTGTGGTCATAAGCAACAACTACTGCAGGAGAAACAGCAACATCAACAGCAACTGAAGCAGCATCAGCATCAGCAACAGCAACAGCAACAGCAACATAAACCATTAAAGCCAACATTCCAACTAACAACAACAACAAAACAGTCAGTCTCCTTGTTCCATTTATGTTTCTACGTGATGTGCGTCGGTTCATTTGGATTTTCATTATACTGCTTGGTGCGACAGTCACATGCTGATGAGCGCTTAAGACATCTACGACAACTTGACGATCGAATAGACTTCATTGAATTGCAGCAGCAACAATTGCAATTACAATTACAACAGCTAACAACAGTACATGTTGCTGACACTAACAACAACTACAACTACAATAACAACAATAAATACGATGACAATATGCTACCACCGCAGCAATTCCAAGAAACGGAGCAATCAGAAAATTTGCATACACCACAGCCGGCGGTTATATCAGCGCAAGCGATGCGTTTGCTAACGCGACAAGTGGGCGATTTGCAGCGTTTACGGCGTGATGTGTCGCAACTGCAGTTAACACGACGGCAACAGCGACGACAAGCGGCAATGTCAGCAACGAATGCATCCGGCGGTGGTGCTTTGGGTCCATTTGGTGAACACAGCAACGAGTGTGCGTGTGTACCAGGTGTGTATGCAATCTATTTTTATTTTTATTTTAATCATTTTATTACGAAATTTTCTGTTTTCTTGCTAAAAGTATATTAAGCAATAAACCGCTAAAGTATTAAATGTCCGTTTCAAACGTTCATATGTGCAATACAGTTGCGTAATGGCGGCGAAAGGATTTAGCAGTAGTTCACTACATTCTCAAACCCTTACGTTATAATCTCTACGTAATATATAGAACGTAAATAACAGAGTTTCATAGCAACCAAGGTAAGTAAGGAGTAGGTACGAGTACATATGCTTTGGTTTGAATTTATCTGAAATATTACACACTTGTGTGGCCTCACTCCACTGCCGGTGCATTTATTTCAGGGTTGACCGTTAGCTCGCTTGACCGTGTAGCATCAAACTGTTACACTCAAAATCCTTTCAACTCACGTACACGTTTTATCAAATATTTTCCAAATTTTACCACGTTTGTACCGTTATATTTTGTAATTGTGCCATTCCTGCTCAACTGGTCGATGACTGTAAGCTGCTTCCATGGTGGTAACTGTGTCATATGTTGTTTGCACAATTAACAATTACAGCAACAGCATTGAGCCACATTCATAACTCCTACACATTACAGCAGCATGAGTATTATTTAGCTGTCACTATGACGGGGGAACCATAAAAAAATTTGGCACTCACATTGCTTATGAGTGATGGCATCCTTATATATAAAAAATCGTTAAATTTAAGATAAATAGAATATGTATCAATACTTATGCACTTTTTATAGTTAAATTTTAAGACACTTTTAAACTACTTAATAAATATCGTTAATATATCGTTAATTCATCCACATTTAAGCCATGTGGTCATAAATCCATTTCTCATTGGAGTGCGCTAAATTACTTGATATTAAAAAATTTTAGTACAATAGTCTTGAGTTTTTTTCATCAGAACTAGTCACGTGGTTAATGATTTTGTAACTTTCGATTAACATATATAATTTTGAACATGTATATCAAATTGAAAATAGATATAGGTACTAATGTATATTCATCATTAAGTAATCAGGTTTACTAACAGTTTTAATGCTATATTAACTTAATTAGAATTTAAAAGTAAATATCCTTAATAACATTTGCATATAGAAGCAAATATTTAGAAAATGATTTCAAAAAACTTTTATTCTTACTGGAGCTAATATAATTAAACAAATTAAAAATATTTCCTTATTTCGAAAGTTTCTACTGGTTACTAGTTTTCTTATAACTGTAGATATTTTAAATTGACATTTGAAATAAAAATCTAGTTCAATATATATATATAGTACAATTTAATCTGTTAATATATAATATTAACTTAAATCTGTTAAGCATATAAGTTTTAACTAAAATATTGGTATTAACTGTCATTAAATTTTTATATAAAAAATTTACGAAAGTAATTACTTTGGTTGGTTTTCAAAAGTTTGGTAATTACTAGAATTATCTTAAGTATTAATAAATTATTAAATATTAATAATTTGAATTTGTTAGACATTATTAATAACTTCTTACTTCTTGATTATTGTCGATCTTTTTTGTTTCAGATCATAATATAAGTCAATTATATAATAGATTTTTTTTATTAGTTGGTTGTACAAAATTTTTTATTATTATTATGTTGAGGCTAGTTGAATCAGTGCACTTGAGCACTTTTACTCTCTATTAACTGCGAGGTTTTTTCATAATTTCTGTCTACGCCTTTACTGGATTAATGTTTATTACTGCATTAGATTAAGCAATAACTGACCTCCGCGATGAGCCTGTAACTATTTTGATTTACAATAACACGGCATTGGTAAGCCTGTCAGTTTTCGTAAATATTTCCAGGGCTTTATCCATTATGTATTTTTTGATCGGATCAATCTTAACGTCTCTAAGGATGTCATTCATAGTTATCATATTAACAAACGAAATTTTAAAATTAAGTGCACATATATGCATTTTATGATATATAAAAATATAAAAAGTGGTTACTAAAATATATACAAACTTTCCTTGATAATAAAACATTTGAAGCTTACCTCGTTCGCATGCATTTCACTTAGAGAAACCTACAATATGTTGAGATTTAATTATTTGGGGGTGGCTAACGAAAATATAAATTTATGGCAATTTAGAGATTTCATTAATTGGAAAAAAGCTTTTTCGGATATATTCATTCCACTCCAGTTTTTTTATACAATATTCTTTTTTATATGCAGCGGAGGAAAGTTTTGGCCATAACATGGGAATTCGTATGTGTGTGGCATACGAAATATTCGCTTAATTCAATGATTCCACATAACTTTCCTAATTTTTGTTTTCCTTTTTGTTTCTATTACTTCCAACATTTAATAGAAGTCCTTTTGTTCCATTAGTTTTGTATTGCAACCGTTGAAATCGACTTTAGTATGGATTAAAGTATTTCGCATACTTCTCGAACTTTCACGTCGAAACGCTCCTTGACCAGCTTTGCATATATTTTGGCAAAGTACTTGAAAAGTTTACTCCGTCTTTTTACATCCCTGTGATTGGATTGAAATGGTTGGGCAGTGGCTGCAGAAGACTGAAGATTAACACACAATTTGTGTTGACATTCACACAATTAAATCCCATAAAATAGATGCAAATCTTAGCTGTATTTAAACGAAAATCTGTGCGTGGAGTATTGAGCAAATTTTTCACTTGAACTGTCAAGCAATATTGCGGGAATGTGCGCCTTACGAGGGGCAAATGTTCACAGCTGAACAAACCTTGTACTTTAGTTGAGAGACTGTAAACGGCAAGTTGTGTTAATAAAGGATCAACATTAAGACAATTTACAGGACATTTGAAGGCACGACCTAAATTAATATATTTAATTATTGCTAATATAACTTCTGCCATGTGCTTTTCCTTGTGCATAAAATAAGTTTTTTGTTTAATTAAATTCAATTAAACAATATTATAAACTAAAATATATATTTAATATATATCAGATTGAATGTGCTTGCAGTAATGTCCTCAAGTGTGAAATTTGACAATGGTATTATGTTTACACATATTTATTCCCAATATGTTCCTTGCGAAATTGAGGTCGACTATCAATTGCTCGGAGGCAATTTTATTTATAATATTTATGCCCAGTCAAAGGCACATATGCCTTTAAGTCTTAATGCGTATAATATTTACAAACAAAAGTAAAATTAAGACTATTTCTTACTTCAGAATAGTAAATGAATTTTAAGTAAAGACAACAAATGCTACGGATTTCAAAGGATTCTATTCTGGATTAATTGTGAAACATGAATAGATTACTAATTTGTGATGAAAGCTTTATGTTTTGTTCTTCAATAAAGTTAGAAATTTATTGCTTTTTAATTATAATAAATTTTGGAGTTTTGCAATAAATTACAAGTAATTAACTTTAACTTTAATTTCTGATTTATAAGTTAATTATTAAGTGCATTTCATTATTTCAACATATGTTATTATTTTGGTATATTTATTTAAATAAAACTGTTTATTATGCAAGTTTTATTTTAATTTCAAAGTTTACTTCTAAAATTTATTATATATAACAGTTATACACAAAGAAATAATAAAATTAAAATAAGAAACAATATAATTTTTTTTATCAAATTTTTTTATATATTTTGAAAGAAATATTCATGAATGTGTAATATAATTATCTTAATTACTACATATATTAAAAGGAAAAATATTAATAATAACATTTCTTCAAAATTTCTCTCTAAACTCTAATTTCGTAGACTTGACACGGCTGCAGAATTAGACATCTTCATATGGAGAATCAAAAGTCCAATATAAAGTCAACTATGACAATTATTTCTTTCCAAATATTATCGAATACTTGCTTGTATAAAAATAAGTCTTAGGCACTTGTACTTATACGAGTATGTTCATTGCAATGTTAATGAAATTCTTACTTTTAGTATTAGTACATGGAATAACCGCATTCGACCTGGTCACTCCACCATTGGTCAGATAATAACACTGCAACAAATACCGAAAAAACCTTATGAATACAAAATCTACACCTACTATATTTTTGTCGATTATAAAACAGTTTTCGATAGCCCCATAAGAGATTGAGTTTAAGCCGTAATGTCTGATATATCTCTACAAAGTTAATGCGACTCTGCAGAATGACGTTGAGCAGTAGCCGCAGCTCCGTTGAGGAAGGATCGATTCTCTTCGAACGTTTTGATACCGTATGAAGTTTCGAACAAGATGTACCTTATCATGTGATCTTTACAATTTTATCATGGAACTATCAGGCGCCCGCCAGGTGTTCATGGTTACGTGAATCTCCCAATACAATTAAAGAACATCAAGCTTATGTGCATCCAAACCTTTTCTATGTTTGGAAATACCATTATAAATAGTTATTATTACATCTTACTTCTAGGTTTTGAATATTATGTGTATTATTCAATGAAATTTCTTTTTAATGTTTTAATAATAATTATAACAAATTTAAAGGACGGAAATAGAACTTCAATAACCTTATGAAACATATTTTCAAGTAGGAGTTTCATTTTTTTTGTTTTTTTAAAATTATTTTCGTATAATATTTAAAATATTCTTGGTTATTAATTACTATTTGTATAATACACAAACAAAAAACAAAAATTTTGTTTGAAATTTATAAATTGGGAAGTTCATTTCCAGTCCAACTGTGATATTGCACACAATTTGAAATATTGATATACGTTCATATCTATTTTGCAACCTCTTAGTGTTGTGTTAAATATATTAAACTAATAAACAAATTATATTTCAGCTTAAAGTCATATATTTGCCTAAACTGTCCAAAGCGGCATTTTGATAAATGTTGGCAGATAAATCAAATCATATTTCGTACTGCCGGCGACACAGCACTTGTGCAATCTTTAACAGATTATACAATCATTTTGGATATTCGTATATTTTGAATTGGACAGCTTTTCGATTATCAAACTCATAGATTGAAATAGACAGAGAGCTACTACCATATGAACCACATACACACAATGCCTATGCATTTTTCACGTGTGTAAATGCATGTGTGTAAATTTAGCAGTTTGTATGCGTAATAAACTCAATTGGAATCGATAAATTTATAACAAAACCGAAACGAATACTAAAACCAAACTAAAGCACACCACAGCCAAAACCGAAACCGAAACCAAAGCCACAGATACTTGTACTGCTTTAAGTG